TATAGAGCTAACTCGTTGTTCTAAGGGTTTAATACCATCTTTCGAAACGTGGTATCCCAGAAACTCGATTTCGTTCTGCCCAAAATTGCATTTTGAAGTGTTAATAGTTAAGCCATATTTATTAAATCGCTCAAATACTAGTCTGAGGTGTTCCTTATGTTCGGATTCAGATTTCGACGCTACTATTACATCGTCGATATATACAAAAATAAAATTAAGATTTTGAAGTACGACGTTATTTAAAAATCTCTGAAATGTTTGAGCTGCGTTTCTTAGCCCAAACGTCATCCTTGGGAACTCAAAAAGACCGAATGGCGTAGTGATGGCTGTCTTCTCTATGTCTTCATTATTGATGGGAATGAAATGATAGGCACGTGTTATATCGATCTTCGAAAATATCTTTTTACCCGACAGTAAATATGTAAAATCTTGTAAGCGTGGAATCGGATACCTGTCAGGCTTAGTGATGGCATTTAATTGCCTGTAATCACCACATGGTCTAATACCACCATCCTTTTTCGGGACTACGTGGAGTGGACTTGCCCAACAGCTCTTCGATGGTCTACATATGCCCACGTCTTGCATGATTTCAAATTCCGATTTTACCTTCTGATATTTGTCCGGAGCTAAAGGTCTGGGTCGCGCAAATACAGGAGGTCCTGTAGTCTCAATATAATGAACAACAGAGTGTCTTGGTGTATCTTTGAAACAAATAGGTTTCGTTATATCGGGATACTCTAACATTAAGTCGTAATATTTATTATTTATATCCAACGTAGTAATAGATGACTCATCGTGTTGCACTATCGATGTTATAGTATCTATATTTGTTATTTGATCAATAAGTCGACGACGATATAAATCTACTATAAGCTTATGATAGGTTAAAAAGTCTGCGCCTAATATTGGCTGTTTAACGTCCGCTAACACAAAAGTCCACCGAAAAGGTCGGCGTAAATTTAAATTTAACACTAACGATTTAACACCATATGTCTTTATTTCACTGCCATTAGCTGCATAAAGTTTATATTTATCACTAACTACATTGTCATAGAGTCGTTTTTTGTACGGTAACACTGAAATATTTGCACCTGTGTCCACAAGAAAACGTAAACCACTTTTGCAGTCGGTTACGCATAAACGGTGGAACGGCGATATGGTGCAGACATCCACCCTTGGCTGCACCTTGTCTAGTTTTCCGGCTGCTCCTTCCAAGCACATGGCTCAACACATTTCTTTGCTTTAACGCCGAAACGGTGATGATAGAAACATAGCCATTTCGATGATTCGGACCTGCGGCGTCGTTGTTCGGATACTGAACGTCCGCGTGATGTAGTACGTCGCCTCCAATTACATCGAGTACTTCGATACCTTGGTCTCGATCTTTCAAGTTCCATGACCTTCACACTTAACTTGGCTATTTGCGACATAAGAAATGACGTATCATCCGATTTTTCAGCTTGACAATTTACTTCAGCAGCATGTAAAGGTCTCGTGGTCTCCATAATTTTGTCAGCGATAGCTGCAAGGTTATCTAGATCCTGTTGCCAGATTGTTGCCAGTTCTGAATCTTCACGTAAATTTTCCTTCGCTTGTACGACTGGTTTAGAATTGGTAGCCATCCTATATTTGTTCTTCAGTCAGGTGTTTTTTTTCAGTCGGGGTCACCAATATGTGGCGGACGTGAGGAGAAAATAATAAGGCTTTAATATTAAGCGTTTATTGAAGTGCGTATTGCACTTGCGAGACCAAGCGAGAGACTGTACAATCGATACATATTCGATCTATAATCTAATGTAATATCTATACTTATATATTATGCTCGTTACAAATCATATTACCTCATGTTACAATAGGTACAATCTATATAATAAATTATATAGTTCGAAGTTTCGCAAGATTCGCAATTTTAGATTTGAAACAAATCTTGCTTAAGGCTAGTGAACATTTAATGTTTGAGATAATTTAAATAGATAACACTTTTTTCGTGTGAAAATTGAACTTGCGACCATTGTTTTTTTTTAATATATTGGGTTATTACACACAGCACCATCCATTTCCATGGTAAGCTACGAGGCCTGTGTTATGGATACCAGATAGTTGATACACTACTCATGTATAATTTTTAAATACATATATTACAAATTTAGAGTTAAGTAAAGCATTGTGAGCTAAACACCGCATTTCTTATACTCTCTTCGTCATATTTTATTTAGTGCAAGAGTATAAGTACTAAGAGAAGAAAATACGTAGAAATTACAAATATACTAAATTATATACATATACAAAACAAAAGTACACTCATTTTACTGTACACGTCATGTCCACGTGGAATAGTGGCAAGAAAGCTAGCCGCATTCCCCCACTGAATGGCAATGCCAATTCTTTGGCGAACAACGAGCCAGCTCTTGTCACCAGTAGAGGCTTAATATTTATTGCAATAATCTTATTTATTACGAACTAGTGATATGCCCCTACTTCATTCGGACGCTCTTGACAATTTTAAGATTTCTTGTTTAAATTCTTTTATTTTGTGCATAGAAACTTTCAATATATTATCCGAGGTTAGCTTTTCTATACATTTTTTTACTTTAACCTTGTGGTTCTAAACTTTAAATTGAAGTAATAGGAATACAGAGAGAGACAGAGAGCGGTTTTTTTACAGTATGTATACATATAGATGAGCGGCTAACGCCCGAACTAAAGTGCGTCAGTTTTTGCATGAAAAGATAACAAATTTAGATCTACAATATTAGTAGGCACTAGCGCTTATAATATTAGTAGGATAATTTTACTACAGATCCCTATAAGTAAATATTATAAAATAAAGTCTCTCTGCCGTGTCCGTCTGTCACCCTGAAAGCGACAAACAAAAACTAAAAAAAACGGATTTTCACACGGTTTTTCATATGACTATTATTATTTAATCAATAGACGGAATGATTCATGAGGAAGGTTTAGGTGTATAATTTATCTTCTTGTATAAATTGATTGAAATTTGTTGTCGAAAAAAATCTTGCCGCCGACTGGGAGTTTTATTGAGCCTAAACCAATAGAGTTATTTGAAAACAATAAACAACAAATAAACGATTGACTTTATTATATATAATAACAGCGAAGAGCAGCAAGTTTACACGAGTAGGTACATACATACATATTATGTACACATAAGTGTAACTTGTCATACAAATGACTTATTTAATGATCAGTAAAATTATCTTTTGTAATATAACCAGATTCAGTCAATGTGAGTGACCATCAAATATGCCATTTGATAACGTGAGGGTTAGTCACATAAACTGAATGCCATATATTAAATTACTTCAGTTATAAACTATCCTATAAAAAAAGAAATAAAAAAGTTATTTCACGTGAGACGTGACATCATTTACCTTACCCTTACTTCACCTTTAAAAAAAAAACAAAAAATTTCATAATTAAAAATTCGGTTCTAGTATTTTTTTCTCTTTATTTATCAGAAGTAAAACAGACTTTTTTCATCGTAGGATCTTTTGTATGAAAATGGTATTTCATTTAAGTGCTCAAATAGACTATCACCTAGAGTGGCACATAGGCTAGGGGCCTAGGGACGCATCCGACCGAAGCGTGAGTCGTAAGTAATATTATAAATAAATAATAAATAAATATGTTGAGTCGTTAACACACAGCACCATTTAGTTCCATGGCAAGCTAAGCTACGAGGCTTGTTAAGATACGAGTGGTGAGAAATCAAGTGCAAAATCGACGCTTTTACATCCTCATCAAGGGTAATACACCACCAATTTACCAACTTAGGGCTGAATAGAATATCTTGAGAGAAAAACAACTCAATAGCTAAACTTGGCCCGACCAGGGACTCGAACCTTGGACCTCCAGATCTGCGGTCGTACTTGCTTGCAACAAAATCTCTAAAGCAGTTAAAGAAATATATAGAGACTTCCTATTGCATTCTCCTATATAACCGTATCAAATCCAGCTCATTCGTCTTAGAAGGAAGTATCCTGCAGACACATGCCACTAAACCGGAGTAGTAAAAAAATCACTGAGTGCTCGAGGAAAATATTATGTTTCAAAACTAATATTATTAATATTGCTGCACGCTGTCTGGTACTAATAAATCAATTTCCATATACCGTGTATAATTAAACTGCGAAGTTACTAAACAACTTTGTGATGACGATTAGATAGCAAATAGACATATGCGAAGTTATTAGTTTTTACGTTAGATAAAGGGTGAAAGTCCGGAACAGAAAGTTCTGATTCTAAATATATCAAGGATATTTATACTCTAATTATAAATAAAAAGGCAGCGTCTGTCTGTGATTTCAAAATAGATACTCTATATCGAGGTTATTTGCACGATCCTGCCTCTATTTCATTGTATTTTTATCTTTGTGATATATATCATACAAAAATTTTAAGTTTCATCCGAATTTCCCAATTTCCGGACAAATTTTCCATTTTTGCCCTAAAATCCTTATTCGAATTGTTCATTTTTTTTTAAATTAGCAAAACAGAGATGTTATAATAGTATCCCTATATAGTCCTCTATCACTAACGATGACAGGAGAATGAATAATTTTAACTGTATCTAGGAAAGTCCTCCAACAAATGAATATAAAACAGCATAGTTTTAATTTAAAACATTACTTATACAGCAACAAAGCTCCATTATAACCAGTTTAGCCGATTTTAAATAAACACGGCCAGACAGTAAGAACCCTTGACCATGGCGCTTGTAATAGTGGCGAAATATCGATAACTCTCAAAAATAAGTGCAAAAATGGTAAATATCCCATTTTACCTCATATAATATAATATAGAAAGACAAATACTCAAAGCATATTTCACTCTATATTATAACTAACACGTAATATTAACAACAAAATTCAATTTCAAGTTTTCGACTTGCATATAGGTATTCGTATATGCACTACGCTTTATACAGTATATATAAAGTTAGAAACTTCTAGCAATTTAAGCGTAAACGTACAGTAAACATGTTCCTCGGTAAAATACAAGCAGCTAGTTGAAACACTCGTCTGTGTTGAACTATCGAGTGTTTGATCGAACCTTGTTAAATGCAAACTAGTTAACTTATGTTATGTTACGACGAGTTGAAGCTAATGGTATGCCAAAGGGTCTTGAATATTTTTCTATATTGGCTTTAACTGCCTCGGTGGTGTAGTGGCTAGCATGTACGGCTGCACACTCGGAGGTCCTGGGTTCGAGTCCCGGGTCGGGCCAAGTTTAGTTATTGAGTCTTTCTGTATAGTAAGTCTCAGTAACAGCCCGGAGTTGGGAAGTTGGCGGTATTTCACCCCCGTGCCTCGGAGAGCACGTAAAGCCGTCGGTCCTGCGCCTTAACTCTCACTGGTCGTGTCGAGCAGTCGCCCCACCAGAGTATGAGAGTGACAGGAATAGAGAGTGCACTTGTGTCTGCGCGTACACTTGTGCACTATAATATCTCCTGCGTAGTTGGCTAGTCTCAATGAAATTGGCCGCCGTGGCCGGAATCGGTCAGGAGAACATCAATCAATATTGGGAGGCTGGCATTAGCTGTCACCATTTTTTTTAGTAGCGGCGGCGATAATATTGTTTTTGCTGGTCACATCTTAAAGCTGCCACAAAGTTCTAAATTTTGTTTTAAGTGCGTAGTCGTCTCCAACAATCGGCACATAGAGATGATTATTATCAAATTATTAGTTTTAATTATTAAAAAATATCTATATTTTATTTATATAAAACGTAAATATGAAGGAATAAACTGAGCGTTGGAAAATGTCTCGCTGTCAAGTCATGGGCAGAAAAGTGTGAATGGGAAAAAAAGATGTTGCGGCTAGTAGTTGTCTTTTTCTAAAATTGTGATTGGTCTACGGATTGGCTTATGATGGTATATTCTTTGGATAGTTGTAGAAGGAAAGAGACACATAATAGCCGCTTTTTCTCTTTCTAGTGAGTCAAGTGATGTCAATTTTTATGAATCTATCGCGTTTAACCTTGGCTCCGCACGTGTATATCAATTATTTGTTACATTATATTAAAAATTATAGCCTATGTGTTACTCTGATGTATAAAGTAAATTAGTTACTGTAAAGTTTCATTGAAATTTGTTCAGTATTTATTGTGTGAAAGAGTAACAAACATCCATCCATCCATCCATCTTCACAAACTTTTGCGTTTATTATATTAGTCGGAATATTCAGTACATTTATGCATGTCTCTTATATAAAAAGATCTAATATGTATAATAAGTGTCTTATTGACACGATTTATTAACCAAGTCAGGTACCAGCCAGCTCTGTACCTGGGGTGTCTATATCTGCAGATATATTTCGGCTTATTGTAGCTTTTAAAGAAATCTTTAAGATAGTTTTATTTAAATTGTCAAATATTTGGGTAAATCAAGTAAAGTATTAAGAAAGTATTATGTTTTTTTTATTACATAAAATTAAAATTGCAATATTATTCGACGGAAACGCATCACTGGAATATAAAGTGTTTCATATGTCAGTGCATGACATACATAGTCTATGGCAGCAGATAATATGTGTACATTTGATATTTACAACAAGCTAAATTTTACTAGCAATATAGTATTTTTCCGCAGGTTTATTTTGCTTTTTAGTTCCCGAGATGGTCGCAGGCGACATTTTCCCGTGACTATATTTAAGAACTATTTTTTTTTTAGTTTTATTTAAAATGTTAAAATATATTCGCATGAATCTAAGACAATATGAGTTATATTATTATTAATATATGTTTAATTGAATAAATAGAAATTAAAATAATTTATAATTTGATTGTTGATATTTTCAGATGCGGGCCGCGGGCGCGTGACCACGGACGGTCTGCTAAGCGCCCTGGCCCGCCTGCGCCGCCCGCCGCCCCCCCTCCCGCACCCCGCGATACCCTCACGACCCGTGAGTGCATCCTATTTACTAATATTACGCTTCAATTAAAATATAAAGTAATGTTTTTTTTTTTTTTTTATTGTAAGATAGGCTTGCGCTTGACTACAATCAGCGCTGGGAAGCACTGATGAGGTCTAGGTTGAAGCGCGCTTGCCTAGAAAAATGCCTGTTCACTCTAGCCTTGAAGGTACTTGGATTGTAGGTGGCAGGAAACACGGATGCTGGAAGGGTGTTCCACTCCTTAGCAGTTCGATTCAGAAACGTAGAACTGAAGCGTTTCGTGCGAGTTGGTTGGATTTCTACCACATAAGGATGCCAGTGCTCACGATTTCTCGCTGTTCTGTGGTAAAACGGTGAAGGGGGCACAAGGTTGTGAAGTTCCTGCGCGCACTCCCCAAAGTATATCCGATAGAAGATCGATAGACAGGCGACAATGCGTCGATGCTGGAGACTAAGCATTTTCGTCTGCATTAGTGTTTGATTGACCTATGATACGGCGAGCTCGGCGATCTATCGAGTCCAATGCATCGAGTTGATACTTGGCAGAGCCATCCCAGAGGTGGCAGCAGTACTCCATACCTGAGCGCACTTGAGCCTGATAGAGAGTCAGGCGCTGCTCAGGCGTCAGTGAGGCGTTTTGGCCTTTGTCTCGATGCATTTCCCGAAATTGAGATTGGGCGAGATGTCTATGCCCAAGAGCTCAATATGGTCGCTTATCGGGATGGATACATTTTGGAAAGTGGGAGCCAAAGTAAAGGGGCTCCTTTTTGCGGTGAATAAACACGCTTGTGTTTTGGTGGCGTTAAACTTAACTAAATTGGCGTTACCCCAATCGGACACCTCCTTCAGAGTTAAGTCAACGCGATTCACCAAGGCCTTTCTTTGCTCAAGTATCTCAGAAGCACTGGCTCTAGAGCTGGACAAGTATCTATCCGTAACAGTGCTGTCATCAGCGTACCCAAAGATGCCGGGTTTTAGAAGATCGTTGATGTGCAGCAGGAAGAGTGTTGCGGACAGAACAGATCCCTGAGGAACACCGGCATTGACAGCCATTAGGTCAGATGAGCAGCCGTCAATGACCACCCTAAATGAACTCTCACTCAGAAAATCAGATATCCAGCTACAAAAGCCAGTGGGTATCCCATATGCCGGAAGCTTGCTGAGAAGACTGCCATGCCAGACCCGGTCAAAAGCCTTAGAAATGTCGAGAGACACGGCGAGTGCCTCACCGTGTTTTTCAATGGCTTCACCCCAAGTATGTGTGGCATACACTAGAAGATCCCCAGTAGACCGGTTTTTCCGAAAGCCGTACTGGTGGTCGGACAGGAGATCATTTTCTTCTAGGTATGCTAGGAGCTTGTTATTGACCACACGTTCCATACTTTTACAAAGGATGGACGTGATCGCAATTGATCTATAATTGGCCGGGTCAGCACGACACCCCTTTTTCGGTACTGGCTGCACGTTTGCAACTTTCCACGACTTGGGGACTTGAGCAGTTGCAAGAGAGAGGCGAAACAAACGCGTTAATACGGGAGACAACTCAGGGGCGCAATTCCGCAAGACAATTGCAGGTATACCATCAGGGCCACTGGCTTTGTTCACGTCGAGGTTCCGAAGAGTTTTTAGGACCTCTTGCTGGTGTATGCGTATCTCTGGCATAGAGGAGTCGCATGTTGGAACAGTAGGTGGCAATTTGTTTCCAGCATTGAGACGTGAGTTTTCTGCAAATAGAGACGCTAGAAGATTAGCCTTGTCAGTTGCAGAGACAGCCAGTGATCCATCAGGTTTCTGCAGAGGCGGCAGCGAAGAACGGCAGAAGTTCGCTTCAACCGACTTTGCGAGGGACCAGAAAGCTTTACTACCACTAGGGTGATTGGCTAGCTTACGCCCAATGCGGTTAGTTCGGCTGAAACGAGCTTTTCCCAGAACCCTCTTGTAGGACTTGGTGGCAATATTGAACTCCCTCTTTTTAGTTTTTACGTCCGGTGCATTGAGAGCACGTGCATCCGCCCATGCCACAAACGCTGATTGCTTACGGGCTTCTGCAGCAGAGTACTCAGCGTTGTACCACGGGGGTGTCTTGCCATCGGGCGATACGTCAGAAAATGGTATAAAATATTCCATTGCCAGGCGTATCACATCCGATATAGCACTCTCAGTGATCGACGGATCGTTGGTAGAGAAACAAAGTTGCCGCCAAGGGTAGGATGCAAAGAAGTGCCGCATCTCATCCCAATCTGCTGAACTGTATCGCCACACCCGCCTCTTTAGTGAGGAGTCTGGAGCAGGAGGGTAAAAGTTGGATACAGCTTTCACTAGGCAGTGGTCTGAGGTTCCCAAGGGGGACGAAACTGAGACCGAAAACCTATCAGGATCAGTTGTTAGCAGAAGGTCCAAGCAATTGGGTGTGTGTCCATCAATATCCGGTATCCGGGTGGCTACCTGAACTAACTGAGAGAGATCTAGCGATAGTGCGAAATTGCGCGCCTCACTCCCAGCATGATCGGTTTTTAAGAATGGGAACAGCCACTCCTGATGGTGGGCATTAAAGTCTCCCAGAACTACCAGTTGAGCGGTTGGATATCGATGTTGGACGATGTCAGCTTTTTCGCTTAGGTAATTAAACAACTGAGTCGTCTCACGGTCACCGCTATGTGAACGATAAACGCATGCATAAACTGTTCGCTCGAAACCTGTGTCAACCAAGCACCACAGAACCGAGAAATTTGGTACCTCCAAATTACGAAGACGTTGGTAGCAGATGTTACTGCAAACATATAAACAGACCCCTGCGCGAGCTTTAAAATTGTGCTCAAGCGAATACCCGGGGTACTCAAGGTATGCTACATCCGCTGGGCTGTGAATTTGCGTCTCCGTGAGAAAGAGTAAATGCGGCTTGGCAGTCTCGAGGTGGTGGTGGACCGCGTAGAGATTAGAGTGCAATCCTCGAATGTTAGAGAGGTGCACTGAAAAAGAGAGGAGGTGCAGCCGCTGTTTAAAACTATTTCTCTTTTTACTATTTTTCATTTAGGCTTAGGGAGTGAATAATTATGGGGAGATGATAGTTGTACGAGATACTGCATTCTTGACACCATAACCCTAAATCATAGCAGAGCTGATGGTAGACTCAACTGGAGACCGCGGGGACGCCCGAACCCCCCTGGAAATTGCCATCGGGTCCTCTCTCCGGTCGCCAACCGGCACGATGGAAGCCATCCCAGGATTTTTCGCCAAAGGTGGCGGGGCAGCCTTTCATAGGTGGCGAACCTACTAATTGGGTCCCCAACTACCTGCGGTCGGCCAGCGGTGCACCGTGCTTCGGATCCCGCTGCTCTCCAAATTGAGCCGTCCGGCACGGCCACAACTCAGGTCAGAACCTGTCATCAAAGTGCAGCACAACTGTACAGACCCATTTCCCCGTGCATCAATGGCAGCAGCGAACATCGCACCGGAACACGACCCAACCTATGTTGTGGCGAATCGCGCCACAGGATGTGTCATTTAGCGGTTCGTCTTTGTTCGCTGGGTGGTGTTAGCCACGGCCGAAGCCTACCACTTTTTTAATGTTGCTCAATTGGCACCACCCAGGGGTCACGTGTAGGGTATCGAGGATCTGAACCTTGTTTCGGTAGAACCTACGGACGCGAGCAACTTTGACCCCCAAAATGTTTTCATTGACTTACGCGTGCGTCTTTACGTACGCAGATTTTGCAATTTTACGGGTTTTAATTTTATTGCGCGGAACCCCAATTCTTTTTCTAAAATAAAAGTAGCCTATGTTATTCCTTTTAATATTAGCTATCTGCTAGTGAAAGTCTCATCAAAATCGGTCCAGCCGTTGCGGAAATTAGCCGGAAAAAACCAAATTACGACTTACAACAACAAAAAACAGATAGAAAATTTTAAAAATTGATTTTTTTTATAATTACCGTGTATACTTTCTGCTATTATTTTAACATTACAAATAGACAATTCATTCATTATATTGTAAAATAATTCTTTGATTCTATTTAAAGTTTTTTTAAGTTGCCATCTTGAGCGGAAAAAGGGCGGGAAAAGCGTTGTTTTATTTTTTTATTTAATGAATTTCGATAATTCTTTATGTAATGTTGTTTTAGGCTTGCAAGTACTTTTACTCTGATTCTATAAAAAAACTTAAAAATTCATACATGAATTTTACTACTTTTGAAATTCTCCCGCAACACTAATTTCTGCACTGAAATAAGTCTACCAAGTACCACAATATAATATGTTTATCTAGTATCTAGACTAACTACTATAAAGTATATACAGGGGTTCAAGAATTTCGAGGGGTTCGAGGGTTTATAGAAGGAGTTGTCCTTAGAAACTAAACTAAAACCTAAAGAGAAAAACTAAAAACTAAAAATGAAAGGCTAAAAAAACCTAAAGAGATGTACGTATCAAAACAGCAAGCTAGAAAAATGTAGGTCTTAAAAAGGCATATAAGAAAAGTCCGCAATAGCATATGTCTATCTCCTAAGGTATACTCGCAACACTTACTTTTATCTATACATAACTCTAACTTGCCAAATCGATGTGTCCATTTCTACCACACCTAATACTAGCTTGTTAGTTTCATATGAATTTCTATTAAAAAGTTGACACCCAAAATTAAATAATTTCTTTTTATGTAGGTGATGTAGACAGCATAACTTTTTAGTAAAAAGTCTTTATAAAGAAATATAAACGGGTTTTCACATCTGATACGATAACATGCACTGTGACATTAAATAACGCTGTCTTAATGGCTTGTGGCTGATATATAATTAAATCTATACATATTATAATAAATAAAAAGGTTAAAGTTTTAGATAAAAGTTTTATTTAATTAATATTTTTTCTGACCAGGTAATAAGGTATCTTATAATTTTCCTTGGTTTTAACAATATATTTTCATACAACCTATCTAAAATTTGGATACAAATGGCTTTCCCACAAACAAGAGTTCTAAAAAAACTTTATTTGGTTTCTGTAAAATATTTAAA